GTTCTGAGTTCAAACCCCACTCCCACAGACAGCAGAGACCCTTAACCCCACATAGCTTCTGCGGCGCCCCACGATGGCAGCCCACTGCTCCCCAAGGGGATGGGTTAAATGCAGACTTCCATTTGTTGCTCTGTACTTGTCACAGTGTAATGACTATAAAAGCTGGAAAAAGGCTAAAAAAAAAAGTAAAATGGTGCTGTTGCAGTCAGGTGATGACACATCTCCGGAATCTCTGTATTTTCTTGATGAAAATCTTGAACCCCTATCTGATGACTGCTGTTGCTCTAAGTGAATTGGTTTTGGTCTGAGCATTGGTAGAAGGGCTTACTCGAGATGTTTAATCAGTTTGCTCTTTTTAAAGGCTGCTGGAATCCACAAAAAGACAGCCCGCACCATTGGCATCGCTGTCGACCCCCGACGCCGTAACAGATCCACAGAGTCTCTCCAGGCCAACGTGCAGCGCCTGAAGGAGTACCGCTCCAAGCTCATCCTGTTCCCCAGAAAGGCATCTGCACCCAAGAAGGGAGACAGCTCTGTAAGTGTTTTTATTTGTTGCCACCTAGTTGCTTTGGTCAGGGCACTGTTATGTATCCTCTCCTCATAACTGGGTTCTAATGTTCTAAAAATTATACTACTGTGATTTAAATGTTAAAAATGGGCTTTATAACGTGAACCCATCAGTTGGTTTCCCCTTATCATTATTTAACTGTATTGATGATTTCTTTTCAGGAGGAGGAACTGAAGATGGCCACTCAGCTCTCTGGTCCAGTTATGCCCATCAAAATGGTAAGGCCCAATTGTGTATTATTATGTATATTGTGTGTATTATTTCTAGCTGGAAAAGAATCTTAAGTCATAGACGGTGTCACTTTAAAATGTTTTCTCCTAATAACTGGATGGCTGTTATGCCAGCTTTAGCATGCAGCAGTCTAATGATGACAAATCTCCGGAATCTCTGTACCCCTTTGATGAAACATTTGAACCCTATATCTGAGGACTGCCCTTTAGGTTCAGTTGGATGCTGATCCTATACAATAAATTAAATTACTCATATCCCCCCCCCCCTTTTTTTGTTTTTCTTTTTTTTTTTATTCAGGTCTACAAGAAAGAGAAGGCCCGTGTTATCTCTGAGGATGAGAAGAAATTCAAGGCTTTTGCCAGCCTGCGTATGGCCCGAGCCAACGCTCGTCTTTTTGGCATTCGTGCCAAGAGGGCCAAAGAGGCAGCCGAGCAGGATGTGGAGAAGAAAAAGTGAAGATAGTAACTATGGAACTTTGCAAAATAAAGTCTTTAAAAAGAGAGATGCGAGATTTTTGTGTTTATTTTAACATGGGAACCCTTTGCATGCTGTTGGTTAAGTCGGACGTGAGGACACGGATATATAAAGCCCCTAAAGCACATAGTCGTTTTGATCATAACAAAATAGCTTTAAGAATAAAATTTTATTAACATATTTCTACATCTTGTTGAACAGGATGATTTTTAAAAATAAGTACTTTTCAATTAAAGCATTTTGACTACCAGGTGTGAAATGAGACTACCCTATGGATCAGCAGTGAATCTGTTGAAATGGCAGCGATTTAATTTGGCTTGATGTAATCCAGCAGTAGGGGGCACAATTGTTCCAGAAAAGTTGTGATTTTAATCCAACTGTCATTTAGTTTAGAAAGTTTGAATGATTTAACATATAATGAAACTAAACTTTGCCAGAATACTGTTTGCAAATGGAGCTTGATTTTTATGGGTTGTTTTTGTTTGAGCTGGTAGAAAAATAGAAATCTCCTCCACCTGACTGCACACTAAAAGTATTTTTAACTGACTACATGCTAATAGATAATGTAGAGAACAAGGAAGGTGGGCTTTTGAAAAATGCCTCAAGTGGACTTTGTTGCTCTGCAGCAAATAAGCTAATTAGTAATTGGCAAACTAATGGACTTACACAACACAGATGCTTCTAAATATGTAAACATTAAGAGATTGCTTCTAACATGTTAGGATAAATTAAAAGGACTGAGGTGCATGGAATCACTTTTACAGGAGGGTGATTTGCTCCAAGTAGAGATCTTAAAACAAGCTGAAAAACTACTTGCAGGTGAAATTAATCCTTGTTCCTGTTCAGACTAAAACGGTTCAAATGCTCAACATATTTTGAATTGAAATCAGAGTAAAATTGTTTAAGAACAGTGTTTATACTTGCCGTCTCCAGAATTAAGCAAGTACAGTTTAGGATTTACGGGTCAAATCCCTTAGATTAGCTTAGTTGTGTTGCTGTTGGCAGAGTGGCTAATAAGAGCAACACATTGGTTTGTTTCTCAGCTGATTGCAAACGTAAGGAGTGGGCGCTGCTCTCTAATGCTTTTGTACAGTTCGCTCTGCCTCATTTATGAAAAGGAACTGTAAAATTGCCATTATATCCTGTGTTTTACACTTAAACCTAACACCAAATGTTGACAGAGTAAGGTCGCCAAAGGTAGAGCTATGTCAGGGTTCCATGGATATAACCCACATATATTGACCTGTGATCGATCCACAGATGGTAAGTTTCCTCAAATTTGGCAGTTTAAAAGTAAACTAATGTACTTCCTAATGGTTTAATATTTATAGACGAGAAGTCCCTGATCAAACAGAGCCGAGTCTCAATTACTACACAAGAGTCGAACTAATTTGATCAAAAACATTTGCTGCTGTTCATAATTCAGCCAATTTTAGTAGTGTGAGAAACTCCTAACACTAAAATACTTAGTACCAAAATCCTTCCAGTTTCCAAAAATACCTTCACTCAGGGGGGCTGCAGGAAGAGAACCGTCAATAATGACACACCAACACAGACAGAGGGAACTAGATGCCTGTTCCTTTGGGGATAGTCACAAGCCTCCCTATTAGGGTTTATTTTACATGCAGCTTGGTCAGCAGCACCAAGCCAAGCTGTCAATGCGACCGGGGAGAGGCGGCATGAATTGATAACCCATGTGTTAACGCCAGTGGACATCCTGTGAGCTGCTACACTGACAGCAGTAGCAGTAGATGCTTGTTTGAAGCTGTGGCGTAACGGGGCTCAGGTGTGCGCCCCAGAGCAGCTGTTTCTTCCCAAGTCTGAGAGCCCATGTTAAAAGAAGAGGCAATGAGGGTGAAAAACTGCCCAAGAGAGCAGATTCTGTGTTTAATTTTGCATTTTGTTGGAGTGATTGGAATAACCTCACAGCCTGCTTTGGATACCTCTTAGAAAAATGTCCCACTGCTACAAGTACAGTAGCAGAAACCTGTAGTTTGTAACATTTAAAACCACACAAAACTCTGAATATGTAAATACATTTGTTAAAAAAATGCAAATATTTTGTATTATTCATTATTAAATCACTTCACATCTATGTGCTTTCTTTAAAAAAAATATTTGTCTTAGCCAAACTGGATTGTCTGTTTTAGTCAGATTACCAATGTTATGCAATGTCTGGAAATACATTCATGAAAATAATACATTAGTGGGCGGATTGAGAAAAGGTTAAAGCTCAAACCCAGTTTTGAAACTGAGCATTGTGTAATGTGAACATACAGAAGGTTGAATAAAATTCAAGATCTCAGTGACTATACAGTCATGGCGAAAATATCGACTTGTTTGTGTTTAATTTATTGATATAAAGCAACAAAATCAGTTCTTTACCAGGTTCTACATTTATATCTAAAGTAAAGGACACTAAACCACACAGCAATCTCCCCTGTTTGTTAATATAAAAAAACAGAAATAATGTGAGCTAGCTGTGTTAATATGGTGGTTGTGGTTTTAACCAAACTGCATCATGGTAAGATGACTCTACTTTATTCTTCCATGTTTAAAAGACATTATCCCAGAAATGTTGCTGTTAATTCGGATCCAAACTTGCAAACACTGGTTGTAAAGACTTTTTAAGTAAACATAGGTACCGTCAGACGAACTGTTTATGTTCCAAGGGCACTATTATTAACATTTACCTTACCTAAACCTGTAGAACATTTTTTTATTGGGATGTAATATTTCTTCAAGCTCACATAATTATTTTATGCTTTTTTTTTTTAGGTTTTGTTGAGCATTTCATGGTGATTCCAATGGGAAGTTTACTCCTCATCAGATTTTTTTTTTTTTTTTTTTTTTAGCTTATTAAAGGTTTTCCACATGTAAATAGTTAACTGTAGAATGATGAATGGTGTATTATATCCCTATCCCCCTTTTTCCTGGAGTAGGGAACAGCCTCACTGAGCTAAGAAGCTGCTCTCCAGACTTATTGCCTACAACTTATTTTCTCTCCTGTGAATGTTCCTGGATTTGAGAAAATGGGGCAGATCAGTAATATTCCTTTTGCTCTCCGACATGGAATAACCAACATGTTTCTGCTCATCTCCTCTAATTGATATGATTGATGCAGAATGTCAACACATCCTTTTTTAAACACAGTGCCCTATTTCATACCTGTTTTATGTTAATTTGCATATACTGAGGGAAAAACATGCCACATGTTCTGAGTTTAAACATTGTGTTTATGTATTCCTTTTCTTTTAAGTTACGAATTGCTATTAGAAGTTAAGAAAAACTGTCTGTGACATAGTGGAGCAAGACCTTTCTGATATACATAGAAATCAATGGTGATATTTCACAAGATGCAGCTGTTTCTTCACTCACTTGTGGGTTTGGCAGATTATTGGCAGGCAGGTTGATTATATAAAAAAGTAGCATTGTTATAAAATATGCTGATGCTGGAGAATTATCTGGTAGGTATTTAAGTCAGAATCTATAATTAAATCTTTTTCAAACAGAGATCAACTTGAAGGGAGACATACAGGGGAAATGACTCCTAATTTATTGATTTTTTTTCATTGGTCACAACTTTAATGTGTTCAAACGCTTTCCACAGATCATTGTTTGGTTTAGCGCTTTGTGTGAGCTATCAGATGTCATTCTGTGTTGCACTTTCACAGACTCCCCCCTCCTCCTTTTATGGGCTCGGGTTAGGAACTGAAATCATCGCTAAAAGCCCACCCTTAAAGAGCGCATCTCACCATTCTCCCCATCTTTCTCTCCGAGCTAAGCGCGCTCCTTCCTCTCTGGTCGAATCAATGAGTTTAAGGGGAGAAAAGAAAAAAAACAGTCTATGCTTTTTTATAAGAACGGATTAAACAGGTGCTTTTTTTTGGCTTTCAGGAATAACAGAACAACAGCAGGTAGGGAGATTTTCCTCTAAGCTTATTGACCCGTGTTTTCCTGTAAAACTGTTGACAGATTGTTGTAATGGAATGATCCGTCATAAACGATTTTGTTAAAAGAGAATAAAGCTTAGGGCGTTTATTTAGTTCTTGTAATAACCTTGACTAGATCTGTGCTCACAGGACTGTAGATTTTAAGAGTTAATCGATCGGAGATGAATTATTAACTACACGCTCAGGAGCTTTTGCTCACTTAAGTGGATTCTTTTTTTTTTTGTTGTTCTTTAAAGCAAAGTTTTTCCTTAAGAGGCGGAGTGGATCGTATTTAAAGCTCTTTATACCCGCTGTCTTTTCTAGATTAAAGTTTTTTGAGCGGTTGTTTTCTTTTTTGTTTCAAAGAGTGGCGTCGCCTCTGTCCTTGGTGCTGAAAGACGAACCTGCTGCTCGTTCGTGTCACTTGCGGTGAATACATTTCGCGCTGTATTCTCTGATTCACTCTTTTTGCACATGTAAACATCAGAAGGACAGCTGCTGCAGGCACTTTTCATAAAATAAAACCTTTGAGTCGTTGTTGTGTATTTTTGTTTGTTAAATAAAATCAAACACTTAAGAAGATCTGGGTTTTTAAATCTGTTTTTTATGTAGTTTGGAGAATGAAAAGCACCGATCCACTCTGCAAATATCTGTTTATATGGGAGTTTGCAGCTTTACATTGCGGGGAATTGAATCATTTCTCATATTGTTAGTATGTATCGATAGAAATGATCCAGACTGACTGCATCTTTCCATTTTTAAAACTGAAATGAACACCAGTACGGTTGGACTTTTTCATGCAGAAAAAAACAAAACAAATATACAAAAAAATCTTTGCAGGAATCTGACCCAGACTTCTAATAACCAACCCTGATACCTTCACAACACTACAGAGGTGAGATGAAATTCTTCCCAAGAGGATAACTCTGACAAGCAGTCATAACAGTTCTGCTTGGTTTACTCCCCTGGGACTCTGCAAGAATTCCTGTATTTGTGACATCTGCACCAAGCCAATAGGGTCCTGTCTCCTGTGAGTGTGCCAAGTCTGCTCTGAGATCCTGCAGCCAGTCACTTGATCTTCTCTTCCCCCTCCTGGGGTTATTACCAACAGCTTCCCATCACACTGCTTTGCTGGGTGCCTGTAGCTCCTCTCATCTTAAGCCATGATGAATGAAGTTCAGGAGGCAACCTCCCCTGCAACCAGCCTGAGCGGCCCTGCTACCTGTGTCTCCAAAGTAGAGCTGCGTGTGTCTTGCAAAGCTCTGCTGGACCGAGACACGCTGAATAAGTCAGACCCCTGTGTCGTACTAATGGTACAGAACAATGGACAGTGGATTGAGGTGAGATTTTCTCTTTTCTCCCCTCTTCTCTTATATTGGTAAAATATGCTACTAAAAGTTTTAAATCAAAATATTGGTGGAACCTAGTCTTACAGAAAACTCATAAAAATGTTTCAAAAGGTTTGCCTTTAAATCAGCCACTCGCTCCAAACACCATCCTTAATTAATAATAATCATAATAGTTACCATAATCAAAAAATAGTGCAATGTATAATAGTATGATCATATTGTATTCAGTTTATATATTAAAACCCCCAGACATAATTAGATAATCTATTTTCTGCAACAGTTAACAACATCGTCCACTTAGCAGACCCCTTAGATTTGCCTTAAATTGCCAATTTAACAGGAAAACGGAGAACCTGCAGACTTCAGATCAGCTTATGTTCAAATAAAGACAGTATTTTCAGTGATGCAAAAGGGCTGACAAAGTTATCTGTTTTTAAACAGTGAAATTGGTGGGCAGTTGTGCTGCTTAACACATAGACTTCATTCGCCAACTGTATGCAGTGATGGTTTTCCCAAAAACATGAGGCCAGTTGGACTTTACTTTTAAATAAGAGTTTTGTTTCTTGTCCAGATTGTTCAACTTTACAGATTCTGGATGACTATATATATATATATATATATATATATATATATGTAGATATGCTGTATAGCCCTTTACTAATACTTTATAAAAAAGACACAAACATTTTACTCTCTTCTATAAATAAAACCATATGAAACCTTTGCTGTTTCAGGTCAGCTATGTTTCCAAAATATTTATCTCCAATAAATGTTAGATTCATGAGAAGGGTTGAGAATGATAGTTGCTTTTGGGATCAGCTATGATCACCAAAAGGATCTCTAGTAATTAAGGATCAGAATAATAAATAAGTAAGTTTTAAAAATACTTTTTTCTTTCTAAATTCTCCAGACTCACTCTTTTTCAGTCAAATATTTGGTATCCTTTCATGGGCTTCAAACAATAGTTTGCCAGATTTTTGTCCCATTACTCCTGACAGAACTTCACCATCATGTATATATACTTATATATGTTAATGTGTGTTAAATTTGTAATTTTACTGAATTGTTTGAAATAAAGTAATTCATTCATTCATAGCAAAACCCTTTCATGTTTGGGGAAATTGTCTTCTTCCTAAATTGTGCGATGCATAGACGTTTCCATGTCATTTCTACTTAAAAGTGTATCAAAGTTGAACCAAATATTTTGGAGTCCATGAATATTTTTCCGATATCTTGGCTGATTTCTTCTGTTGCCAGTGGTGCTACACAGGGAAGCAATTGGTATATATGTAGTGTCCTAAAATATAGTCACAGGAGTGCCTTCATTTAACGCAAATATTCAATTAAATTTAGCACCAATTCAGAACACATGTCATCTCAAGGTACTTTACAGTTCACCAGATCATATAGTCAAATTGATTCAAAATTTTCTATCTAAGGAAACCCAGTTGATTGCATCGACTCATTGACTCAAAGACAATTCCCCAGACTAAGCATGATTAGTGTGAGTATTGCAGATTAAAAGATGACGAAGCCAAGGCACCTTCACACAGGCTTTCCTTAAATGTTTAAATGTTTAGTAAATCTGGTCTAAACAAACTTTTCCATTTTAATGAAAACAACTATCATTTTCAACCCTTCACATGAATCTAACATTTAATGGAGAAAAAATATTTGATAAACATAGCTGACAAACAGCAAAGGTTTCATAATGGTTTTATTTCTGGAAGATAATAAAATTACCGTCTTTTTTATATAGTAGTAGTAAAGAGCTTTACAGTATATCTACATATATATACAGTCATCCAGAATCTGTAAAGCTGTACAATCTGGACAAGAAACAAAAATCTTATTTAAAAGCAAAATCCAACTGGCCTCATGTTTTTGGGAAAACCATCACTGCATACAGCTGGGGAATGAAGTCTATGTGTTAAGTAGCCCCATTGCCCACCAATTTCACTGTTTAAAAACAGATAACTTTGTCAGCCCTTTTGCATCACTGAAAATTTACTGTCTTCATTTTAACATAAGCAGATCGGAAGTTTGAAGGTTCCCCATTTTCCTGTTAAATAGGCAATTTAAGTTCAAGGAAGAGAGGCCAAATCTAAGGGGTCTGCTAAGTGGACGATGTTAAGTGTTGCAGAAAATAGATGATCTAATTATGTCTGGGGGTTTTAATATCCACAAACGTTAGGTATGGGAAATAAAACCAATATCTTTTAGGTAAATTTGAGTAGCCAATTAAGTCATTCTGCCTGATGTTCTTCACATGGTATATGTTAGTTGGAAATGCTTGGTGTAATGTTTGGGCTATACGAAGAGGGAATTACAAGATGCTATTTATAGGCACAAATTATGAAAACAATTAGCTGTAAGGTTGTATCCTGGGTTCATTCTAGCATAAGTTCATGAGTGGATATTTTTAGCATCCCTTTGTGACGCAGATTCATATAAAATAATTCATACGACAAATCTATCTGTCTGTCACTCATCTATTTGTCCATCTCTCCATCTGTACATCTGCCTATCTAATCTGTGATTAACAAGACTTGTTTTCTAACACTACTGTCAAATCCCTTACATCTGGGAGGTACCTCTGCTTGTGTACATTGTTTACTGACGTCAGTAACTGAGTAAGAAGCAGAGCCCACTCATATCCTCATCATATAAGCCTTTTTTTTAAATCTTTCTTTCTCTGAGCCTATGATGTTTTGGCTCCAGTGATTTGAAAAAGTGGACTTATCTTATTAGGATAAATAGGACAGATCTAGAAACTGGGCAGTGGATGATGATGTGACTTGATGAAATTTTGAGCAGCCATTGACCTTTTTTTTCTTTTTCCCTTTGCTCCTCTCATGCATGCTCCCGGGAGTATACCCAAATTGGATCTGTTTGTTGATGTCTCATAATGTTGGACCCTCTTCTGGAGCTCATTATAGAGACACATTTCTCCTGTCAGGGTTGTCTCTTTATAGATTGGCTCCGGCCTCACAACAGCAGCAAGCAGGCAACACAGGCTTCATCATAACCCATCATCTTATATGATTCTGATTATCCTTCATTAGCAAACAGACTCACTCCAAATCTGTGTTTGCAGATGGTGCTTTGAGAGAGATGGCTGAAAAAAACTATTAGCTGCTGAAGGGGCAAATTAAGCTGAACGTAAATTTGTCTCTAAGCAGAATTTGCTCACACACCTTTCATTTTTTATTGCAAGTTTAATTAACATAATGCGCGCATTTCAAATTAACACAATCTGAATAGTAACAAGATATAGAAAAGTTTATGTGTTGAGTTCACACTATGATTGTTAACACTTGTATGTAAAAAGAAGAATGCAGGCAAAAGACAAATAATCACATTTAGAAATACTAACAAAAAAAGGTTTGACCTTTAATCAAATCACTTCCTGCTAAAGTGTTTTGAGCAAATGCCCATTCTCAGCATGGTGCAAATTTTCAATCAGGTGGAAGAAATTTGAATCAGAATCAGAAGCCTTTCTAATAATGTATCTTACTAAAGCAGAGGCAGTGGTGTAATATATTTGTAGATGCCTTAGTGTAGTTTTAGAAGGAGAAGATGTATGGATGTATTTATGCAATTAAGGGGCTTTTTGTTGTTGTGATCCTAGAGATGTGGATCAGTACCAGCATAAAACCATTTATTCAATCATTAGGATATAAGATATAAGAAATGTTAACATAAATTCTTTCAGTCCTGTCCTTTCAGCTTAAATGTGTTCATTTAAAATAATCTATCAATATATCAGTGAGTTAGTCTCTTTTCCTATCTCCTATTAATTTATTTATCATTAATTGTTCTTTTTAAATTGACTCCTCAAAAAAATAGGTAAATCCTTCATATTTTTTTATTTTTATTTAATACTGCCTGATGATTCCCCCACACCCCCACCTCATTTTCAGAATCAGAATCAGAATCAGAAATACTTTAATAATCCCAGAGGGAAATTACTTTTGTTACACGCTCTAGTTACAGTTTTACATGATATATACACACATCCAACTATACAATATAATAAGATAAAAAATAAGAATAAAAAGAGATAAAATATATATACACATATAGCTCTTCTGTACATATATCTGTATATATATCTATGTATATGTAAAAACTAAATCCAAATAAAGTGAAAAGTCCAATTAAAGTGAATAAATCCAAGTAAAGTGATATGTGGCGGGCAAAAATATTGCATAAATGTCAATTACGGACGGGGGGGCTGAATCACTTGAGGGAGGCGTTATATAGGTTGATGACCACAGGTAGGAATGATTTCCTGTGGCGCTCTGTGGAGCATCTGGGTAGGAGGAGTCTTCTGCTGAAGGAGCTCGTCTGCTGGACCAGTGTGTTGTGGAGAGGATGTGAGTCATTGTCTAAGATAGACTGAAACCTGGAACCTTTTTCATTGTCTAAACATTTATAAATCAACTAGGAGTTTTTTTTTTTTTTTTTTTTTTTTTTTTTTTTTTTACATTTTGCTTTGATAAAAATTTTGAGCAACTCAACTTTGGATTTTTCCTCTTTTTTTTTTTTAAATTCCCAATAAAAGAAAAATTTTTCTTGTCGTTTTTATAGGCTACTTAACTTGCAAGGCATTAAATAGAGAGAGAGAGAGAGAGAGAGAGGCTCTGATCAAAATCCTTCCAGGGAAAATAAAAACGAATCTAATATATTATTTATGGTTTGTTCATTAATTTAATGAATTTACAGAAAATGTACCAGTTTGAAAGCCGTGTTTGGACCTTTATTTGTTGCAATTGCATATTTCATGATACAGGCTTTAAATCTTACCCTGCAACATACTTTCAATATCTGTTTCAGGCATACTGATATTACATGTACAGCTGGAAAAAAACCAAAATGAAACAAGTAAATAAATGAATAATTAAAATCTAATTCCCCTTTGTATGCATTTGGATTGACACTAGTTTATTATCCCAAAGGAATTGAGAAGATAAGCTGTTATTATTAGATTTATGGCAGAAATGTAATATTTTACTGATTTCAACATTGATTCTAAGGCAATTAAATTGTATCTTAGGTGTTTGAGGATGATTCTAAATCAGATGACCACCAAACCATGATGAGTACTCCTATTGATTACATGATTTTCCATTATTTACATATAGTCTGAACTCATGCTGCTTAAACTAAACTAAACGACTGATAAAAGTTTTCCCACATACTTTCCCCTGGTCTTAATTCCAAGGATGACTGAGGTATGCACTACATTGCAGACATATACTTGCTGAATTGGCCTCACAGTGAGTCAGTCCGCCCAGCTGTTAATTTAAATATAGACACATGCAATTCTATAGGAAAATCTTATTTTGTAGGATGCACCAGTTGATAAGTACTTCCTATTAGAAAATGACTCAAACTGATGGCTACAAAGATGTTCAGTGATGTTATCTGTCCAATCACTAATTTCCGCTGTCTGAATTTCTTTTATGTGTTTTATTGAAATAAATCCTCCCTGAAATCCATGAAATTTTCCCTGATGTGAGTCAAACTGCACTACAGCTTTATATATTAGAAGTTAACAAATTTAAAGGAGATAATTGTGAATAAAGAGGGACTTAAAATTAAAATCTATAAAGAATGCTAAAAATAATCAAAATAACTGATGCGTTGCTCAGTTTAATGTGCACGTTAAAGCAGGTTTCATAGGGGCTGACTTTAACTTGACTCAGTAACACTGTAGGAAAAATGGGCGTACCGGTGGCACAGTGGTTAGCGTGCATGACCCATGTATGGAGGGCTTAGTCCTTGCCGTGGACGACCCAGGTTTGACTCTGGCCTGTGGTCCTTTCTCGCACGTCTCTCCCCCTCTCTCATACCCCCTTTCCTGTCAGCCTACTGTCAAAAGAAAAAAAAAAGCCAAAAACGAGCCACTAGTGCCATGAAAACTAAAAAATATATATAGCAGGCAAAATAGCACATAAAATAGAGCAAGTGACCATAACATGTTTTAAAAGAGACAAAATATTTTTAAAATGAGAAATTATTTACTAAATTGAAATCTTGTTTTTTTTCCCCCCCATAAATACTGTATTTTTGTACCTCCAGGGCTGCCTAGGGATTTAGAAGTGACATGTTAGACAGTGCTTTCCCCCTCCATCTTAATAGAGCTTGGCAATTTTAGAAGACAGATCATCATCCCCCTAACAGAGTATAAAAGTCTTACAAGGAATGCTTGACTGCTGCTGGGATCCTGGCAAACCAAAAATCTGTATTTCTTTCTTATCTGATCTCTACCAGAGCGAGAAATGAGAAACAAGAGAGTTCTGTCACCCCATTCTAAAGTCATCATACCACAAAGTCTGGACCTGCTTCACTGATACTGAAAAAAATACTCAGAAAACATTGACAGATATTGAGGTGACATTTTAGATGACCCCCTTAAACCCTCGCTGCCTTTAATTTACCAGCAGCTGAGCTGTTCTTAGCCTCATAATAGACCCGCTTTTTCCCTTATCTTGGAAGATTTGTTTTCTTGTTCATTGTCTTCCTCAAAAATTGCTAGAATGTTCAGAAAAAAAGTAAAAAAATTATTCTTGTTTGTTATTTACTGATTTTAAATTCTCCAGATCGAATATCTCATATAATTTTTGTCTGTATTACAACTTGCGCAGCATAAAAATGTTCAGGTATCAGTGTGACAGCTCAGTTTCTTATTGTCTGTCAGTCAAAGAAAAAAGATGTTTTCTGTTGTTATTTTTTAAGCTGAGATTGAATGCCAGAGCTGTCAGTTGTATCTGCTGATGGAAATCTAAAAACATTCATATAAGCTCTAGTCCTTAAAAACAAATAGAAAGATAAACATATTGCAAGTTATATTTTAAGCTTTACATTAAAGGCTAATGTCACCAACAGTCTGTGAAATTGTTTTTAAATTGGTTTCATTTTCTCACAGTGAACTATTGCTTTGATGGTTATACAGTGATAGAGACAGTGCATATTTGACTGCCCAAGTGTAATTTTTGGGAGCCTGATTTGTTTTCCCTCTCAGTTGGATAGGACAGAAGTGATAAAGAGCAACTTACACCCGATCTTCGGGAAGGTTTTCGGTCTGGATTACTACTTTGAGGAGGTGCAGAAGCTGCGATTTGAAGTTTATGACATCCACGGAACCCACAGCATAGGGACCCGTGATGATGACTTTCTGGGAGGCATGGAATGCACACTTGGCCAGGTAGGTAGATTCTACTATTTTGTGAGCTCAGTTTGCTAATAGTCTTAAAAAAGAACATGACTAAGAATGACCTAATCAGGTCAAAGCGACTCATATCCCTGATGTGTGATGTTAGCTACCTGATAATGGGTTTTGCTGCCAGCAGGTCTAGTTTTATGATTGATTATTGCTACTGCTGTTGATGACGCAGAGCCCTTTGCAATCCTCCTATTTGCACTGGCCTGAAAGGTACTTTGCTGATGTCTTTTGTTGCAGATTGTGGCCCAGAAGAAGATGATAAAACCTTTGCTCCTGAAGTACGGGAAATATGCCGGCAAGTCCACAATCACAGTAAGCTTTTTACCAAGTGTTTAGATTTGAAAATAACCGTCATCATCTTACACACATTATGTGCTCTTAGTCTGTGTTTCCTGCTTTAAATAGATCTTTCCCATTTTTTCTTTTCCTTTTACCTGAACTGTTCATGAGAATAATCTTTCATAATAATCCTGTCCTTTTTTTGCACCATGCAGAATCATTCCTAATAAACACAGTAACACACAGTTCAGGAAAAGCAGATGAAGAAATAATGAACAAATAGTGCTTTTAAGAAATATTCATAACTCTGGAACTGTGGCAAATTTAGTCACGTTACAACAACAAATGATGAATCAACACAAAGCCGTAAGCAACTTTTGATTAGAAGTAAAAGAAAAAAATATTTTCAAACTTTTTATCAATATAAAGTTTAAAAGTATGTTCTGCATTTTTTGAGCCTACAGTCAGCGGCTTGCTACAACTCTCGACAATTCCACAAAATATGCCACCTAGTAGGCTTCAAACTATGCATCGATCATCATATTTGCACTACACGGCAAATTTTCAAATCTCTTTAAATAGAATGAGACTCAGTGTTATACTGCATTTTGCACCATTTTTATTTATCTATTTTTGCACTGCTCTCCTACGCTGTTTACATTCTGATCACTGATGCCCTTTATTAATGGAAATGTCCATTTCAACCGCTAAGCTGCTCTTTCACTGTTGAAAAGCTGTATGCTTTTCGTTTTGTGTACACTCTGTGTATACAAAACAACAATAAAGTCTGTCTATGTAGTCTATGTAAAGACTGATTTTTTAAATAAATTTTTCCTTTCAAAATCACACAAACACCCTCACATAAGATGCTAAATGTAATTTATAAAGACAACAAAATTTTGGGGAGTGGCGGCCTAGTGGTTAGGGCATAGAGCCTGAAATCCTGAGGTTCTGACTGCCACTCCTGGTCTCTGAGCAAGATCCTTAACCCCACAATGCTTCCCGATGATGGCAGCCCACTGCTCCCCAAAGGATGGGTTAAATGCAAAGGTAAATTTCTCCAATGTCAGATCAGTAAAATTCAATTATTATTATTATTACATGCTTTTCCTCCAGGATTAATTTCTATTTAGGTCTATCTGCTCCCAAGACCTACTGTCACTTATGAATAAAACAGTACAATGCATCACATAACACTTTACATGTAATGTTGCACAGGTCTCATCTGACCATAGCTCCTTTGCCTCATGTGTTAGTTCCCTATAGCTGGAATCAAACTGTAAACAGTTAGCAATTATTAAAAAAAACATAAATAATAGGGATATAAATACTTAGTGAGGTAAGGTGGAAAGGAGAAAAAAAATTAAATTCCTAATTAAATGATTTAATACCAGAGCAAGATTTTATTTCCCCTCTTGAAGTTGTTAACATTAGCACAGGAATGTTAAACGAGGGAGTTTTTGCATCCTTTTGGGGAATAGAAGAATAACAAAAGCAAGTTCATAATGTTGATTCTTTCATCCCCCAGATAACATGAGACATTTATTACAGAACGCACCACTAGGCAGTCCTTGGATAATAATCCGGTATATCTTACCAAATGGATGTCTCCTTAGATGCAACAGAGGCAATTTAGAGGATATAAACAGGAAGGATATTTTTGTAGATCATTAGTTGTGCTGTGAGATACAATTTAAGCTCGTTAAATGAAAACTAAGATAGCCGGCCCCCCAATTCAAAAACGTCCGATAAAGTAATTATAACAACTCAGAGGAACACGAGAGAAGTGAGAAGTTAATGAACCTCTGTGAAGAATAATGGGAATATTTTTAAGCAAAAGGTGAACAAATATCTTTTAATGGGTTAATAAAGATGGAACAACAACCGCTCAGATACCAACACCAAGGGCTGGATATTATTGGTAAATTTATATGATCACAGCAGAAGTGGTGAAGTTGTAATTGGTTATGAACTGGATTTTTGCTTTGCCCCTCAGAGCCTTGAACCGCCTCATATTGTTAATATTTACACAAGACAAAAAGGAAAAAAAAGAGAAATTGAATCACATTGATTTTAACTTGATAGCATCATGGAAATGACAAAGTTTTGGTAAACAGGCCAAAAATGAATATACCTTTTTAATAGGCTTAAAGGTATAGTGGAGGTGTTTCACACAGACCTGCTCTCTCCTCTGAAAAAGAAAATGCACATTCACAACCTTGTACCCGTTCCCGAAAGGCAATACCTATTAAATGCGTGTGAGAGCATGCAGGAGCCCGTTTTTCCTTCTGCCTGCCCTGTATAAAAGTTGTTGTTTGCATCGTTCATACAAGCTTACTTTCCAAAAGATTAGCATTTTTTCCACTATGACTTAGACAACTTTTATTGTCATTTTTTTTTTTTTTCATTTTGTATACTCACAGGGCCGGATTTATCAAGATCCAATTTTGCGTGCAAAAATTGCAAAACTGTTGGAGACACCCTATTTAAATGATGGTTTTGCGCATTTTGTGGTTTGCGGCAAAGTAGTTTGTACAAACTAGTGCATTA